ACTAAAACGACAAAACAACAGCAAATAAAAATTAAAAATTAAGAAATGATTGCGACAGAAAATACATAATGATGTTACAAAAGCAGCTCACAGCAAAACCAAATCGTGGCTAGTTCTCTGAAGTTTCTGTTGTGAGGAACATTTTCCACAGAATATCTGTGTTTAAACTGGTAAATTTAAAATAATCACTGGATTTCGTCAGATTTCAACCGTATTTTACTTTTACACAAAACCTTTTTAGACTTTAATTAGCCTGAAACAATTAATCGTGATGAATCGATTAATCATCAACTAATTTAGTAACCGATTAATTGTTAACTGGAATATAAACTCATAAAAAGGCAGTTTGCTGAAAGAATAACACACTCAGCAGAAATTAATCAAAATGTTTTATGTTCTACCCAGAACTCCTCCAGTTTCATAGTTTTAGCTTCACCTAGTTCAAATTCTGTAAAAATATGTTCTATTAAGTCACCTTTTGCTATCTAGCTATTAATCAATTAATCCAAAAATGAGTCAACAGATCAGCCGTAAACTGTGTTGATGTAAAGTTGAGCAGAAAGTTTTCACATGTTGATGTCAGAACTAGTTATTCACCTGCAGATGCATCCTTTGCTACAAATGATCAACCGTATGCTAAAGGAATGCTACGTTATTGGATTTTAAACAAAAAAAAAAATTGATTTTCTTATTGTGAAAAGGAACTGAATTTCTTATTTGTATTTTTTTAAATGTATTATTTCTAATATTGTATGAAAAAGACTTGGGTGATTAAATGAACAATCTGCAGAATGTGGCCTTTTTTTGACTGGTTAACTGATTAATTGTCAATATTACTAAAATAATCGATGCCTGCAATGCACGGCGACACGTCCCTCTGAAGTGGCTGTAGGATTGTTGCCAGAGCTGCAGCGGTGAAAGGGTGAGGGTGCATGAGGGGCAACGGTGCTGCAATGCAGGCTTCCCACTCTGGCACGTCTAAATAAGGCGTCGAGACGGCGCCTGTGTTTGTGCGCTTGGTTTCCACCATAGTGCAGCCAAGACACCCAATCCCCACAGCCAGCGCTCTGTCAGGACAGGCCCTCCCTGCGCCGCGCCCTGGAGCTGCTTTCTGTCACAAACACTCGTAAAAATAACAAAAATGTTCTTCTCTGCGGTTTTCTTTCTGTTTGATGTGTGATTGGGAGTTTGCTTTACTTGAAGTTGTCCGGATGCTGGCTGAGGGCCAGGGTGAGGGTGTCCAGGGCGTGACGGTGATGTTTCTGGGAGCTCAGCAGCAGGGTCAGCAGGTGGAGGGACGGCAGGTCATCGGCGCGCAGAGACAAAGCCGTTTGTAGCGGCTCCATGGCTGCAGACACCTGGAAAAGCAAAACGGTTTTCAGGTGAAACTTCAGACTCTGTAGCTGCGTTTCTGCTACAAATGCAAATCTTTGTTGATATTTTACTAATGTTGAAAAAACCAAACTTTGCAATTGCAGTGTTTGAATTAAAAAACAAATTAAAGTTACGTGTGGATAAGCTTGTTTAAAAAACTGAAAAGAAACCATCAACCTCCTTACACTTCCTGTCTTCTTCGTGGTTTTCACCAGTAGTAAAATCCACTTGTTGATCGTGTATTTCCTTCGCAGTTTTGCAAAATATCCAATTTTGATATGATTGAAAAACAACCTCATCTTGGCGGCAAAACTTTTTATTGAAACTTTCAATTAGCTCAGTTTTATGGTCACCAGAAACGCAGCTATTAGCAGCGTCTCCATTATATAATTGCTCAATTTGACATTTTGAAAATAAATGTGCTTAATGGAATCACAACAATTAAAAAAAAACTCCTGTTTGTTGATAAAAATTGTAAAACTGCAATAGAAAGTTTTTTTTCTGCATCACACGATCGACAAGCGGATGTTACTACTGGCAGAGATGTTGAAGAAGACAACAGGAAGTGGTAGAAAGATGATGGCACTGAATATTTTTAATGACTTATTGAGGAACAAACTTTTTCACACGTCATTTAATTCGGTTTCTTATTTAATGGAAACTTCACAATTCCACAATTGTGTTTTTTCGGCATTAATGGAGTGTTGACAAAGTTTTGCACACATTTGTAATGAAAATGCAACAATGTGACATTGCTTAAAGGCTTGCTTGTACCTGGCGTACGAGGGCCAGCTGGAGAGCCAGGTACATGGAAATCTGAGCGTCCAGTGGGTCTAATGAATTGGCTCTGTGGAGGAAAGGCAGAGTTTTTATGTTCTACAAACACCTGAACATCAGCTCCTGAACTCATCCAGTTTTCATAAACCATACTGAGCTTGCTTTAATTTATGGCGATTCATTGATTTATTGCTTATTATGACAGGAAGTGACAAACAAATAAAGGAATGAAAACAAGTAACACATACTTGTTTAATGCCTGCAGGGCTTTTTTGTTGAACTCATTCCGATCAGCTGACAGAGTGGCTGAAGACGAAAAACAAAAACAAATCGAGTCACTCAAAAGGTTAGAATCTCCAAATTCAAACATCCATCCGTACAGATTCACAGGCATCTGAGGACCAGGTGAGACTTTACCCTCAGAGGCCTGAAGGCTGAAGCTGAGGCCCAGCGCCAGGTACGCCCTGGGGAGGAACTCCCTGGCCTCCTCTCCCATCGATGCCACGCGCTTCGACAGGTTCTCCGCCTCCTTGAACTTCACATGAACACACAGAAACCTTCGATGCATGGACTTTTTAAGTATTTTGTATCCGATTAATCGATTATTCTGGCGATTAATCGGATACAAATATTGCCACATAAGAAAATGCAAATGAATAATTAAAATCCCTTTTTAAATAAGAAAATCTATATTATGTTGGCTAAAACGCAACAAAAGCATTATTTTATTTAATCCTTGATGATTTGTGGCAAAAGATGCATCTGCAGCTAAAAAAATCCTAAAAACAGGTGAAAAGCTCAGGTCTTTAAATATACCATATGGCGGATATGTTGATTTATTTTTGAAATGATCAAGGTTTTCTCAAGTTTTGTGATTGGATGATTGGTTTTATTTCCACATAGAAGGACAATAATGTTTTATCGCATCATATTAGCTTTAGGTTTAATTCCAAGTTGTCATTTCCTCAGTTACCAACTATGCCTGTCGATAAATGGTAATATTGTTGTTTTGAGACAATTTTCAAACCTCAAAGATCAATAAGCTTTGATTCTAATGAACATTTAACAGTGGAACTGGAAGATTATATCCAAAATAAATAAACAAAACAATAGAAACAACAAATAAAATTAATTATGAAGTCTCTGTAAATAAAATTGCTCTTGCTAGTTGAGACTAAACCTAATCGCAGTAACTTCTGTTATAATTTGGCATCCAGGTAAATTTCCTACCATGACAGGCCTAACGGTGCATGCAATTCAATTCATGCAACACATTTTAAATCGCTTGGAATCACCTTGGGTACGAAAGGTGCGACACAAATAAAGTTCCTCCGCTGTGCAGCAAATGGTGCTGCAGCAGGGAATGAAGTATTGATGGGCTGGGCCTGCTGGGAGTTTAGTGTGGGGACAGTCTGAACAGATTCAGCTGAAGGACAGCGCAGAGTTTGTTGAAGGACACACACACACTCGCCACACACAGGCAGCAGCAGCAGACTGCAGGCGAGGGAGAAAGTGTGCCACATGGTGTAAGAGCTGCGCCTGGTGGCGGACAGGCAGGTGGGGAAGGTGGGTGTAAGGGGGTAAAGCTAACGCTAATGTCGCGCTCCCCTTCATCCTTTTTCATCTCCGTTTCTCTGAATCAACCATTTTACTGCACAGCCTGTCCACAAACATCTTAGGAAGATTACGCCATTGTTGTTTTTTCTCTCTTGACTGATGTGAAGATCTGCAGCGCTGCTCTTCAGGAATTTAGAAAAGCAGCTTTGCTTGCAGATCATCAGTCCTGCCGCAGATATCATGGAGCTGTAGAGAAACCTCAGCGATGTTCAGAAAGCTCCACGTGGGCTGGATTAAGGAGCATAATGTCGCTGGACAGATTACAGCCCAGACTGTCCGGTGGAGCTGATGGTGGAGAGCGGTGGCCCATTTCTGTAATGCCGCGCTGCACTATGGCCATAGTGTCCCATTGTGATTAAAACTGTAAGCTCCTTAGTGTCTCTGGCCTGCCATGATCTCCAGCCACTAACAGATGCGCTGTCTCCATTCGCCTGTTGGTTCCTCTGTTCTAATCTGGCCTCACTTTCTCTTCCCGACTCATTTCATCTCTGCATCCATCGATCCCACTCTTTATTGATGGCTGAGGTTTTTTTTAGGGAGAAAAGAGAGGAAGCGAACCGAACTTTTCTGCTCTGGATGAAAGATAAAACATGGCAGAAAACCTCTGACCAATCACAAAGCTGCGCCCAAATGGTCAATGGTAGACGTAACTTCAGATGAATTATGTGTGAGTCTTCACTGATGATACAATAAATTATGCTGGACGATAAACTGACCCAGAAATTATTGCAATAAACGATAACATTGTTGTTTTGAGACCATTTTCAACTAATATAAACATAATCCAAGAACACATTCTCAGAGATTAATGGGATACAAAAATTATCACATTCTGCAGATTTTTTATTTAGCCTTTTAATGTAATATTAGAAATATATAGGAAAATGCAAATAAACAATTCAATTCCCTTTTTAAATAAAAAAGAATCAATATTTTGTTGCCTAAAATGCAATAGCAACATTCCTTTAGTGAAAGCTTGATCATATGTAGCAAAGCAGGGTTTATATATATATTATAAGCCTGGCGGGCCACCAGGCTTCACTTGTCGCCCCACCAGGCTGGGAATCGTTTATTTATTTTAATGTAGCAGTGACAGCAAAAAGGGTTAAGATAGGTTTATGTATACTGCTCAAAAAAATAAAGGGAACATTTCACTTTAATTTTGTGTGTGGCTCCAAATCCAGGCCTCCATTGGTTAATAAATTTGATTTCCATTGATGATTTTTGTGTGATTTTGTTGTCAGCACATTCAACTTTGTACAGAACAAAGTATTCAATGAGAATATTTCATTCATTCAGGTCTAGGAGGTGTTATTTGAGTGTTCCCTTTATTTTTTTTGAGCAGTGTATAATAAAACATCAGTAATCTTTAGCCGATCATTATCAATTTAAAAAAGATAACATTTGATTCCACATACAAAACCTACAGAAATACCAGTTTTATTTAAAGCACGGTTATATTTTCTTTGTTGTTGATGTTTTATGTTAACTTTTTTTTTTACACAAAAACACAGAAGGGCAACTGGACTTCCTTAGCACCAGGCTTAGCTAGTTTTCTGGGGGAAACCCTGCAAAGGATGCATAAAAAGTAACTTACAAGTAACTTTTCAGCAAGATACAGGAGCTTGTTGCAAGTCGATAATTCCTTGAAATTGGGAAAGAAGTGCCACTTCCATTGGCACATTATTTCACTTATAATAAGACCATAAATGAAATAGTCAGTGGAACTAGGACTTTTTCATCAATATTAAGAATTTACTTACTTAAAACAAGCTCC